GCCACTCATGAGACAAGTTACGAACAAATGCTAGCAAGATTAGCTTATCGGGCTTAACGAGATGGTAATTAAAATCAAGCACACGATAAATAAAATGCAGATTGTTTCATTCTTTCCGCTTATATAAATAAATCCGAGCTAAATAAGTACATACATTCTTAACTAACCAACTTTTTAAGTAGGCTTTTATACATGTATGCAATTAAATAATTTTTTAGTGTGCATAGTTAAAATTGAGTTACGTAGGCACATAAATATTGACCTCCTTCGCTAACTTTTTGACAGGTATAAAACAGGCCATGATTTCCGTAGAGTGATATTAGTCGCAATTAAAAGAAATTTACTAATAGATTCGTTCAGTGAACGACGTTCACATTTAATTTTTCAAGGAGTTGAAAGTGTTCACACTCTCGTCCCATTTCAAAATTTATATGTATGTATTCTCTCTCGTAAAATTTTTCTAGGTTTACCCACACTTTAAAACAATGACTCCTTTCTCATCCCTTTGACCTTTTCCAACCCGACCATTCCAACTTTTTTCATGTAACACTTTGTACTTGAATTGAACCTGCTCTGCGTAACATTACATACACAAATCAATGTATACATACATAGAAACTATTATTTATTGGTGATCTCGTTTCGTCACGCCGAATTATAACGGCAAGATTTGAGGCGAGGATCACCTACATAATCCAGTCGAAAGCCGAAGGAGAAGTTAGAGAATGGCTCAAATGTCACTTTCCAGGAACTTCCAGGATACAAAAAGTACTTGGAATTAGACCGTTATCATGGGAATTTTTGTGTATGTATGAGATGCTTACAATAGTGTTATCTATTAATTATTATTTTCTTCATGTCTCCCATCTTTTCAAAAATTATGTTAGACTAGCAGAAATTATTCATTACAAGAATTACAAGAATTAGTACAAACTGTAGTGAATTTGACACACTTTTAGAAAAATGCAGTCTGCATGGATGTAGAAATTTTGAGATTTTCTCAGAAGTGCCTGACTTAACCATATTTACTATTATTTACATAACAAAATTTCCATTGCACCATATTTATAAACTGAATTTTTTGTGCACGGCCCCATTACAAAAATAGTTGCAAATTAAGTCTTTATATGGTGTCACACTATCACCCTTCCAGCCATAAATTTGTATATCGTTTTACAAAAACTGGAGAAAAGATTAAATTTCAAGCCTTAGTGTACATAACGTGCATACATATGTACGAGTACACAATGCTTCTCACATCTACAAAATGGTTAACAATTATACTGCACTCTTAAAAATCATGTCACACTTTCGAAAAGTAAATTTACACTGTTAAAAACTTATATAGTAGGGTCACGTACTTATATATGTACCCGGTACTGGTATTGATTTGGTCATAACTTTGCAGTGGATTGGTAGTAGTTTTGGTAGTAGTAAATTTTCCATTATCACAACATTACTAAACGGTAATGCCCGTTATCACCAGTTCTGGTAAATTTACTTGATCGTAATAAAGAGTATGTTGACTACTTAAAATGGAGGTCTCCCAGCGTATGCTCACAGATTTGGACCAAACTAGTGTCAATCGATCACAAATATAATTAGTGTGAAACTTGCAAATGTAACTATCTGCCAATGCGCAGGTTTGGCGGAGATATTTGCATCCGAAACGGGAAAAATTCGCGGCACGTTTGGAAAATGAAAAATTTGCCAGCTTGGGGTTCGTTTTCTCCTCTTTTATGCAAATATCTTCGCTAAATTTGGCATTGGCAGATAGTGCCATTTGCCAATTTCATACTAATTATATTTCCGATGGATTGACGCTAGTTTGGTCCAAATCTGTGAGCACACGTTGGGAGACCTCCATTGTTACTCCAGAGTAAACTTTTCTCTTTATCATGTTAGCATTGTTCTGGGTCTTGCATGGTTTACTTAAAATCAAATTCAGAATGTAATTACTTATCAAATTGGCAACATTATTAAGTAGCTTCAGCTACTTTATGTGAAGACTTTGTCTGTCCGTCTGTCTGTCAGCAGGATAACGGGAGAACGGATAAAGATAATCGAAATCGGTTTTCGCCATCATACATAATACCCCAGGGGGAGGATCCTATCAACTTTTGGGGGCAACCGGACCACACCCCCTTTGGCGACAGGGGGTGTGGTCGGGGCAAAATGAGATTTTTAGTGCAATTTAATCTATAGGTGAAATAGAGTAAAATTATGTGTTCCGGAGTTGTGCCACACCCCCTAGGCGCCAGGGGTGTGGTTGGGGCAAACTGAGATTTTTAGTGCAATTTAATCTATGGGTAAAATTAGGTGAAATTGAGTGAAATTAAATGAAATTAAGTGAAATTAAGTGAAATTAAGTGCTTCCCCGATTGTGCCGCACCCCCTCGGCCCCAGGGGGTGTGGTTGGGGCAAAATGAGATTTTTAGTGCAATTTATTCTATGGGTAAAATTAAGTGAAATTGAGTGAAATTAAATGAAATTAAGTGAAATTAAGTGAAATTGAGTGTTTCCCCGATTTTGCCGCACCCCTTCGGCGCCAGCGGGTGTGGTTGGGGCAAAATGAGATTTTTAGTGCAATTTAATCTATAGGTGAAATAGAGTAAAATTATGTGTTCCGGAGTTGTGCCACACCCCCTAGGCGCCAGGGGTGTGGTTGGGGCAAAATGAGATTTTTATAAAAAATTAATCTATAGATGAAATAGAGTGAAATTAAGTGTTCCCGAGTTGTTCCACACCCCCTCGTCGCCAGGGGGTGTGGTCGGGGCAAAATGAGATTTTTACAAAAAATTAATCTATAGGTGAAATAGAGTGAAATTAAGTGTTCCCGAGTTGTGGTGGGACCGTTTGGGGTGAAGTACGTCTGAAGCTACTTCCGTATGCGCGTTTGCGACGGTTTATTTTTAAGAGTGTGACATTAAGTGGATAGCTAAAGATTACGTATCGTTCCTTCTCTCGCGTTGAAACAAAGGAAGTCAAAGTCGAAACAAAGTTTCTTTTTTGGTCCAGCCCAGCCCCCGCAGTCCAGTTTCATCTTGTAAGTGACTCACAAGTACAAATAATGTGATCTCATGTTAATCTGTACGTTACTTAGGATTATCTACTTCAGAGGAGAGAAGTTAACTTTTTCCAAGTCTAAATTTGTATGCACTTTTTTAAATTTATTTTCTAAACTATGTTCAAACTGTGTGGTTTATTAAATTGTCGAAAAAATTCGCCAGAGATAAAAATGGTAAGCAATTAAATTGTTTATTTAAGCGTGTCGTTAGTTTACTAAGGCTGAATATGTATCTTGGTAAACTGAAAATAAATAAGTTACTCTCATTTCAGTATTAAATTATCTATTAAGAAATTGTAAGCCCACGTGAAAAAATAGTTTAGCAAATTTTTTAATACAATTATTTTAAGGAAATATTGAGGGTATTCATTATTTCTTCGTATTCTTAGTATTCTTCGTATCGTAAAATAACTTACGACGCTTACGAGATTTTGTAAGCGTCGTAAGATTTTCTCATCGAAAATCACGTTACTACGCTTACGATTTTTACTAAACCTGACCCCTTGTTTTTTCTTCGTAAAATATTTTACGATACTACGGATACGAAGAAATAATGAATACCCTCATTATATTTTTGAAACTTTTCGAAAAGTCTCAAGAAGGTGTCAAGAAGAAGGTCTCACTTTACACCTACACTTTACACACACTTTCTCTGACTTTCAGAAAAATAAGAAAAATTTTTAATTTCTTAAGAATAAATAATTGTGGTCAAAAACTGGTAAAGAATTGTTTAACGCGGTCTTCACACGTATTAATAAACTGGTTTCTAGACTCTATAATATGAAATTTGTAATCAATGCTAAATAGCGAGGTATCGGTGCATTAGGCCTCACATTGTGTATACACAATGTGAGGCCAACTTTGCAAAATAAAATATTCGTTGATTATTGAAGACTTGACATTAAATTATAAACAGATTTTTATAAAAAAAAAATTATTGGTAAAATTATGGTAGAAAATTATTTACATTTTCTAAATCCAAGGTTTGTAAAGTCTACAAAATATTATGTTAAGGGGTATGCATCTCAAACTCGCACCTCTGTTTCATAAACGCTTGGAAATTTTTATATAAAAAACTCAGCAAACAAAAATTACATTTCCACGGGTATTGTTCACGGATCAAAATATTGAAAAAGTTATGGTAACAAATTTCTCTGAAGTTTTAATCTTATGCATGTTTTTGCATTTCCTTGGCAAGAAAATATTGAAAATGAAATATTGAAATATTGAAAAAACTTTCATATTCTAATTTCATTGGTGACAATTTTCACCAATAATATCAGATTATGATGAGAGAAAATCTTGTCATAAAAATTAATAAATTTCTGTCGTATCATCTACACAATTTCTTTGTTTTAATGTATGTACTTATCCTGACGATGAGACAAGATGACCCGATTAATAAATGCTTACGTATATACATAAATATATTATTTCACTCAATTGTTTACACGATAAAAATGAATCCGCACCGTGTTCATTTTCTTTATATATTTAACAGGATTTGTACAATGGAAAATTAGGCATCTTAAAGCATGAAAAATCGGATGAGGTGAAATCTATAATGTTTCGCTGAGGACCAGAGCCTACATATTTTTTACCTCGGAAATGACTCTTCACAAATTTCGGCCCTTCATCACATCCGAGAATGAAGTCGTATTTAAATATGTAAGTATTTTATATATTTTTATTAAATTAATATAGTTCTATTTAGAACAATTAATTCCTCTGATTTTAGTGTCCTTCCATATCTATGCATGTGCATATGCATATAAATAAATGTACATAGCAATAATTTAAATACTCACAATGCGATTTTGTGAAGTGCACCCCTCCGATTTGGTTGAAATATTAAAATTGTGTGGTCCAAGTCAATACAACTAAGGCTTGGAGCACATCATTTCAAAATTTAAACCAAATCGAAGGGGTTCACTTCACACCATCGCATTGTCAGCCAAATAATATGGGCCTCGCATTCAATCACTTTTGAGTTGAGGCTTTTAATAGATTTGGTTCGATGAGGCTGTCGATAAGATACATACTGGATTTTGATGTTTTTTTAAATTAAATTTTGTCATTTTAAGGTGCAACGGGGTTCATTAGTTATTTTTGTTGTTTCTTAAAACCACATGTTGACGTAAATCGCAGAGTCAGAAATGCATAAAAATTCGCAACTTTGCACAAAATGCAGGCACTACTTTTGAGTTCATCTATGTAGAATGATAACCAAAACGAATTTTTTGCCATGATTGAAATTAACGAGTAAAAGTTATTACACATGTTTTGTAAAAAACTTGATAATTTATAATAATAAATTAATAATTAGTGTTGATTTAATTCATCCCAGTTTTTCTTAAATATTTGAAAACTTGTAACTCAAATGTGGTGAGAAATTATCTTCTGTTGAATGTTAGAATTATTATGAGTAGGACTTATCTTCATTCTTCGTGTGGTAAAATACCAAAGAAAAATATTAACTTGTTTGAAAATCATGCTTAAATATTATGTGAGCCCAAAAATCATCTCTACGAATTAAATCAACACCCGTTAAATCAATTTCAGTACACAATTTACGACAAAATTTAAGCATTTCTTGGCTTAAAACTTCTCACACGTAAAAGTTTGGTGAGAACAACCATAAAATTTTACGAGAGGAGAAAAATCTAGATCTTTTGCTGTATTGTATTTCGTCCCATATCCACGTACATATTTATATTTTAAGGCATGGTGCTTAGATTATCTGAAGGAAAAGATCGTATACCTTATGTCCGCTTAATTATACGTGAAGACATTATTTGTGAAACGTTTTAGTTTATATTCGTCTTGCAAGCTGGGATTTTTTCATGAGGGAAAAGTGGGTCCCAATCTATGTGCATATTTATGTTGTAGCGATTCAGAAAAAAATGTTTCATTGCTTTGGTCAACGTCATGAGCAATTAAGTTGTAAAACGGAATATGTATGTGTGAGCATACACTCTTGGCAACTTGGTAACAAAACCCGGAATTTCGTTAACACCAACCGTCGGTGTCAACTTCAATTCCATTAAATGGTGTCAAGATATTATGTAAAAATGACACTGAGGAAGAAAAATGCTTTGACACCCTACCGGTATCATACCTTTTCCTTCCTCCTCCACGAAAAAGTCAACAAAATGCACAAATTAATTGGTGTGTTCAATTAATTTCAAGAGAAAAAATGGTTTTTTAATAAGTTTAAGGATTACTAAGTACTTCCAATTTTTTGACTCAGGTACGTTGATATATGCAACACATATTAATTTGCCCTCATTTAATTTCAATTATTTTACTGTGTGTATTTTTATTTTTGAAAACTTATTGTTTCCAGTACAGCTAAAATTCGACGCTGGACCCAACGAGGAAGCCAAAATTGACGAATATGGATTTGTCGACCCTGCAATCTATTTAATTATTACTAAATTTCTTGTTGCAAAGTTAATTGAACTTAAAGATTTACTCATATTCTAGATCATCACCGTGTTAAATACATATAAGCTTTTTCTGTAAAAGTGCATAAGGTATGAAAAAAATTATTTAATTTGTGCGAGTGTAATAATTTGTTACTTGTGAATATGTATGTTTGAACTACTCGTTTAATTTATTAAATGCTTAATATTATTGAATATAAAATAAAACACTTGTTACTAAAATTGTAGTTCAGTTGTTACAATCCGGGGACAATTTGTCACCAGGTGGTGATATTCATATATTAAAATGAACATATATTGTTACCTAGCAGTGTCGAATCAACATAACTGAGCACAACCTCTTTTCCATTCGCTGTGTTGGCATTGTTACAACGGTATGTTGGGTTGACACCGCAGCGGTGTGGAACATAATTGACACCACGCCGTGTCAATTTGACACCAAACCGGTAGAGTCATATATAGACACCGGCATGGTGTCAATTCGGTGTCGATTTTTCTGTGAGTGTATATGCACTAGCATATGCACATATTTAGATATCATATGCACATGTTTGTAGAGATGAAATGGGAGAGATAAGCTAAATTTTGTAAAGTGCTGAGCCAAAGATTGGATCATATTTCAGTTATGATTACGGATATGGATAGCTAATTATGTGCAAAAATGTGAGGTTGCAAGCCTTATGTACATACGCATATATGTACCAAATGTGTCTTTACGATGACTCTTACTAATTTAAAAACGAATCAACTATGTACAGATTTTTACCAGGCAGAGTATGATCTTAAAATGACAAATTTTTCTACTTTATTCTAAAATATTTTGGCAAATTCTGACCATCGCACAAACTGCCTCAAGAAACGTTGGTTATATGGACATCGACTATTTAATTTTAGAATTTCAACCAAATCGGAGGGTCACACTTCACACCGTCGTATTGTTAGTGTAAAATTCAGACTGCGTTTACTTACTTTTCAGGAGGACATTATTTTTAAGAGGGTGGAATTGAGTGTACATACACAATATGTATGTATGTACGTAATAAGTAGTCTAATTACAGTAGTTTTTTTACAATTGGATACCCTATTGAATACTTTTACATTGGATCGTCATTTCCAACAAATTCCTGCACACATATTTTCTCTTTACAAATATACGACATAAATTTCTGGTGACGACATAAATTTCTGGTGAGAATTTTTTTCCAGCATTTTATTTAATTTTTCACTTTAAAGAAAGTTTAGTTTCTGTCGTATTTCGATAACTTTGTTATAAAATGCGTAGTGCTAACTAAAAAATAACTTTCATTTAACAGGAGCAGCCATGAAGAGGTGTCGCTTTTCCAATCCAAAATTCCAGAAATACCTGCCCAAGGTTTACCAAAATGCACAGATTTCTCGTCGGGTAATAAGAGGCATTGTGTCATTTCTAATTTATTTATTTTTCCATAATATTTACTGACAAATTTTCTGTTACATTAACTCAGGAATTGGAACCAGGAATGCAATACCACATGAAGTAATCTGCCATCAAGCACCATCATCATGCACAATTTCGGAAGACGCCAAGCAGAGGAAGTGGGGGACATAAATACTTCATTGCTTCTTGGAATTAAGGTTATCGAAGTGAATTACTTGATTTTTAGTTTAAGTATAATTAATTTCGAAAAAGTACTTATCGTTAGATATGAGTTCGTTAATTATTATATTTAAGTTTAGTTTAATTAATATTATTTCGCTAGTTTAAAAAATTGGGTGTGTTTGAAATAAGCACAAATAGCAAGGTCTGTCTTTGGCAAAACAAAATGTGAAAAGCTAAAGTTCAATGTACAATCGTTCCAAACTGCTCAGCTACCACAAAGTATAGTAAAGGGTGTTAATAAAGTCCGATCCCATTAATTTTTTGGAGCGCGGTTGTTACAAATTCAGCTGGAACTTTTGAACCAGTGAAGTTATTTATTTCAAATTTTTACCATGGGAGGAACAACTAAACGTGTAAGTCATGAGCATCTTAGAGTTGAGATACAAACATTGCATCAGCAGGGGCTTAAACCTACAGAAATTGTGCAAAAATTGGGCTGCAGCCGCAGAACTGTTTGGAAATGGAAGAATAAAAATTTTGTCCACGACAAAAAGCGACCCGGGCGACCCAGAAAGGTGTCACCTACCACAAAAAGAATGATTAAAAACAGACTTTACAAGAAAACCGGTAGTTCATTACGTAATTGTGCAAGGGAGTTAAATGACTCAAAACGCTATAAAGAGAAGAAGAAGCAAATTAACTATGTGACCGTGCAAAAATTTGTGAAATCTACGAGGTGGGGTCACACAGCTTACAAACTAACCAAAAAACCTCTCATGTCACAAAAAAATATCGATGACCGTCTGAAATTTGGAGAACTCCTTCAGAAAAGTGCCCATTTGAGTGAAAAAAGACTTGGTGAAGAATTGCGCAGTCACATCCTTTGGACTGACGAATCTATTATTGAGCTATATCCAAAATTGAACCAACAAAATGTTCGTTACAGGACAGAAAACAAATCGGATGTACCATCAAGAGCAGTCCCAAAATTCGGGCTTAAAATTATGGTAGCGGGTGGATTTTGTGCACGTGGCGTGACTCCTCTACATATCATACCAAAAGGCCACACAGTCAATGCAAAGTATTATATGGAAAACATATTACCTATCTATTTCGATAGCATGGGGAACAAGGAAATATTTCCGAATGAAAGAAAAATAGTTTTCATGCAGGATGGTGCTATAGCCCATACAGCAAAAGCGAGTTTGAGTCTCATCAAGACGCAAGTTTCAACGGTCTGGAGCAAGGGGGTGTGGCCCGGAAACAGCCAAGATTTGAATCCCCTGGAGAACCTGTGGTCCATACTTAAGGTAAATATATACAAAGAGCCACAACCCCGGACGAGGGAAGAGCTAGTAAAAAAAGTTCAAGATGTATGGAATTCGATTCCCACAGACACATTGGAAAAATTAGCACAGAGCCTTAAACAAAGAGTTGAGGGCATGATTAAAGTAAATGGTAACAAGACCAAATACTAAGGTAAATATGTCGAACATTTTTTGTAAGTATCACGGGTAGTTTTTTTTATAAAGGGTGTTAATAAAGTCCGATCCCATGCATTTTTTGGAGCGTGGTTGTTACAAATTCAGCTGGAACTTTTGAACCAGTGAAGTTATTTATTTCAAATTTTTACCATGGGAGGAACAACTAAACGTGTAAGTCATGAGCATCTTAGAGTTGAGATACAAACATTGCATCAGCAGGGGCTTAAACCTACAGAAATTGTGCAAAAATTGGGCTGCAGCCGCAGAACTGTTTGGAAATGGAAGAATAAAAATTTTGTCCACGACAAAAAGCGACCAGGGCGACCCAGAAAGGTGTCACCTACCACAAAAAGAATGATTAAAAACAGACTTTGCAAGAAAACCGGTAGTTCATTACGTAATTGAGCAAGGGAGTTAAATGACTCAAAACGCTATAAAGAGAAGAAGAAGCAAATTAACTGTGTGACCGTGCAAAAATTTGTGAAAACTACGAAGTGGGGTCACACAGCTTACAAACTAACCAAAAAAACCTCTCATGTCACAAAAATATATCGATGACCGTCTGAAATTTGAAGAACTCCTTCAGAAAAGTGCCCATTTGAGTGAAAAAAGACTTGGTGAAGAATTGCGCAGTCACATCCTTTGGACTGACGAATCTATTATTGAACTATATCCAAAATTGAACCAACAAAATGTTCGTTACAGGACAGAAAACAAATCGGATGTACCATCAAGAGCGATCCCAAAATTCGGGCTTAAAGTTATGGTAGCGGGTGGATTTTGTGCACGTTGCGTGACCCCTCTACATATCATACCAAAAGGCCAATCAGTCAATGCAAAGCATTATATGGAAAAAATATTACCTATCTATTTCGATAGCATGGGGAACAAGGAAATATTTCCGAATGAAAGAAAAATAGTTTTCATGCAGGATGGTGCTATAGCCCATACAGCAAAAGCGAGTTTGAGTCTCATCAAGACGCAAGTTTCAACGGTCTGGAGCAAGGGGGTGTGGGCCGCTAACGGCCCAGATTTGAATCCCCTGAAGAACCAGTGGTCCATACTTAAGGAAAATGTATACAAAGAGCCACAACCCCGGACGAGGGAAGAGCTAGTAAAAAAAAGTTCAAGATGTATGGAATTCGATTTCCAGAGGCACATTGGAAAAATTAGCACAGAGCCTTAAACAAAGAGTTTTTTTTTATACTAGCCTTCACTTTTTTACAGGAAAAATGGGATCGGACTTTATTAACACCCTGTACTAGCCTTCACTTTTTTATAGGAAAAATGGGATCGGACTTTATTAACACCCTTTATGTCTATTTTTTCAAATAATTAAGTAGATAATTTATTATTGGGATATTGCAAGTGTGGACAAAAAAATCGTAGAATCCAAAAACTTCTTCTGGGCAATAGAACTAATGCCAAAAATCAATTTTTTTAATTCAAGTATATTTGTTGTGGGACCTTAAAATATAGGGGGAAATAATGATTTCAAATTATTTTTTTGAGGTTTCCGTGGGTGTGGCTTGCATTGAGCTCCCACCTTAATTCATAAGTAAAAGCGGGACCCAATGTGAGCCATAACCCCTCCTACCACGTGCACGGAAACCTCAAAAATTGGGGACATGATTTCCTACAATATTTTAATGTCCACCAACCCATATTTACATACTAAAGGGATTTCAGAAACATCAATTTTTGACATCTGGTCCATTACCATGTCTCCTGGAGAAACCCGAGAGGAAGTTTGTATCTCAATTTTGTACGATAATATACAAAATACAGTTCTTTGTCTCATTTCAATTTAAAATTTTGAGCAAATTTAAGGTGAGGTTTGTTTTCTAGATTTCTGCACTTTTGGTTACATTTGGATGGAGGGGCAATCTCATACATAATGTTTTGAAGGTATTGTCGGTAATGTATTTGCATAAGAAAAAAATGAAGACAAACATTTCATTTTAGTTATTATAATGCTGAATACACAATTATCAATGTGCAGTCCAATTAAGGAGTCAAATAAGGTTACACTATTACGAAAAGTTGATCATCGTATTTATATCAAGATTATAAGCTGGAAATGTCTGTCGGCAACGGAAGTGAAAGTTATTTTCCGCAACGGAAGTGAAAATTTGTTTAAGTTTTTAATTTTACGAGTGTTATAAATTTATTTCATTTCCATCGACGTCAGAGACTTTCGTAATAAAAGTAATAATTCTGTGCTTAAACGGTCGCCCGGCGGAAGACGGGCTTATACTCTAGTAGAATATGTATATAGAGGTTGACACTACGACGTGAGGTATACAGATATGCATATAGATATATGTATGTAGGTAGTATGATAACCATAGAACCATTGTGAGGCGAAAAAATTCGTGATTAGAATTCGCGGATGTATAGCAAATTCTTCAAATTTTGATAATCTCGTTTGCATTGTTCATTTGCATTGTTCATTTACAAGTTCTTCACATCTTCGTACTACTTTTTAGTTGATAAAAGGATGCGATTCAGGGGGGTTTGTAATATCCAAATAATTGCAAACTAGGATTTGTGGATTGCTTTTCATACGCAGCTTTTCATACGCATCATCCTTGGGATATCCACGATGCAAGATACGTGTGATCTCTAATTCAACATCGCTATATTTTGGAGTTGGAGGATTGCAGTTTTTTTCATCTGGAAGCAAATTGGGGAATGGGACGCTTCATTGTGTGGCCGTTGGTGAAAGCCCAGTTTCGTTCTGGATTATTACTAATTTATCAAATTTAATGTTAATGACTAATAGGATTAATATCTAAGTTACAGCTTCCCTACGCACTTAGGGGGTCGATGCTTGTGGATCTTGCAAGATAGGCACTTTCGTATTATTTGAATTACTTGCCATATTCTAACAACTAAAAAATATTAATCCTTTTAATTCCTTCCTGTGAACTTGTAGAGCGTAGGGATACGTTTAACACGCGAACGTAGTTTTTTATAATCATATGTCTTCCCTGGGCAATCTCGATTTGAGTAATTATCCGAGCTGGATAGTTCTTCACAAGGTGTAGACGCTCTTTATCCGACACTGCAACGGCAAGGCAGCAAGTTGTATGATCATTCTTCGTCGCTCAACGTGATCTAATAGGGAGGATGTCAATTGCGCGACGCGCATTTAGTGCATTTGGTATTTATTAACTGCGAATATTGATATAAGGCTACATACATTGCAGTCCTACATATAAGTTAGGAAATAGGATTATCTCTTAATCAAAGATTAAATAAAGTAAAAAACACATATGCCCTTAAATGCTAAATACTACTCGTAGGGATGTGCCCCGTAACAAAGCAAAAAACTTATAACGTGCACACACATGGTTTCACAATTTTGTTAGATTCTCAAAAATTGATGAACTAAAGATTACTTGATGCGTTGCATTCCACTATGCGTATATGGGCCGGTGATGCAATAACAGATCAGGTGAGATTTATCAGATGAATATTCCTGTTCTAGGTTCTCTGGTGTGTTATTCTCAAGGTGTTTGTCCAAGCCGGAATAACCTCTATCTCAAATAGTCATTCATTTAGGGCACCTGAACTCGAAGCACGTGTTTGGATCAATCGCTTCATCAATAGTTAATTGCATTATTTATTCTCCAGGTAAAACCAATAAGATGCTGTTTAAGTTAAATATGAAAGGTGTCAAATTTCGCGTAAATCATACAGTAGTCCTCTAGCCGTTCATATTCTTTGAAAAGATTTTCCGAAGCCTGTCTCTGCTGCAACTTAAATTCTTCTGATCGGCTGTTGTCCGGTTGTTGTAGTACTGAAGCATCAGCTACGTTGAATAAAGGCCCAAGACGTAAAATGGCACGCATGCATTCTATGCCATTGCCGTCTGCCACCCATGTCAATAATAATTTCACTTTCACTGAAATTTGTGTTCATTATGCCAGGCTATCGGTGACCGGCGCACAAGATTGGTTGCTGAATTTTCATCAACCAAAGCTACGATTTACGAATTGTAAAACATAAATTAAACAACTCAACTTAATTTAGGATGAGGGTTTGATTTTCTTGAGTTACCTTCGCATTGCAAGTGTTTAATTTGTGCTAGGACTTATAAAATGGAGAAACGAAGTTAAACATGCAACATAATTGAGAATTATGTTTGCTTTAACTATTTTTACTTACGTTGGCATTACAGAAGTTTATCAACATATTACAGTATTGCCAAAGTTTTTTACGCGCAAGCGGGTAAGGTTATTACCTCGTTTCTACATATAAGCTACATGACTTGTGCAACCGGGATTATACCTGATACAGATCTTTTATATCTGAGTTTGATAGGACAGGCTTCTTCAACATTCTAATGGGGCCATACTTAAAGTTACGTTAAAGCTCCATGGAGTGTAACCTTGATTGATTACCTGACATTTAGTTTATTATGACTTTTTCAGGATGCTTTGGCATTTCTCTCGTCCAAGCTGTTTGTGATACAATTGTCGTATTGGTGGGTTGTAACTCATCCTACGTATCGATGCTATGTTGAGCTAAATCTGTGAAGCCTACTTAGTTCAATAGCATCATGCGCAAAGACATCAAAATATTCTCGGCGGATAGTTATTAATTATTATTCTCTTCCTCCTTTATCTGCCTCTGGATTGATATCAAAATGTTTCTCGTCAAATACATAGTTCCGTTCCTCCAGTTTTTTCGGTATAGTAGTAAATCTGAATGCTCTACCCACTTTTTGAAATCGATTTTATATTTGGTTTTACTGCATGATACAGTAATTTCATGCAAGTGAATTATTTTGCTTGAAGTTGTAAAATTGAGCATAATACATCGTAACCCACTTTCTGTCTGGATCTGAGTTTTAATCAATTTTTATAATTAACGAATACGAGTATGATAAGTACCATATAAATATTATGGCTAACAATTCTATAATTTTTCCGATTGCGCACGTTTTCCATGCTTTTTCCGTGCACACTATTATTTACAAATTTAAACATATTTTGATCACATGAATTTGTAGATTCGCTCCTTGGCTTTGCATTCATGAGGTAAAGTCACGTTTCAACATATTTTCCTATTTATGCTACGGGTTTCTATATGTCACAGAGTAATAAAGTTAGGCACTTCCCAGTATCTGAACACAAATTTTTATTTTTTACACAATTTTACACAATTTTTAATTCTCACGATTTTGTGTAAAGAGAAGATTATTAGAATGAATATCAAATAACTATAAAGTCTTGAGGTAATCCTGGCGTACATTTTTACACGTGAAAGAATTGTTTTGACTTTCTAATGTAATAAGATCTTCTTTATCATTAAACAATGATAATGTTGGATAGGAATTAGGGCTTAACATCAAATTCTGCATATAGGATATTCCACATCAGCTCCTCATTTTGCTACTAACAATGCGATGCCGTGAAGTGTTCATCGCCAATCTTGATGAGACTAACTTTATTTTGTAGTTAAGCTAATATTATTAAACAGTTGTTTTGTCATTTTCGATAATGCTCAACATATTTCTCACAATTTGACCTCAAAGTTGAAAAAATGCTCATTTTCACAAGGCGAGGTCAATCACTTTCACGCTCAACTCGCTCACTCTCGCTCAGCCCGCTTTCTCACTCAACTCGCATTTTTCGCTTTAGCTTTCTTTAAAACTTACATTTTAATACAATACATTTTAATTCAATAAATGCCAACGATTATTAATTATATGGACTTTTAGTACAACTACTCATGTGATAATTAATATAAAAATGATTAAAACAAAAAGAAAATTTGCACCAACTGCAACTAATGAATGGAACAACATTACAGTCAAATACGCTACAATCAGTCCCTTTGGATTGAAAACAAACTTCACTGACATTTTTAAAGTTAGGTTTTTCACCATCAGCCCACAACCCACTCGAGTACCAACAATAACGAATCATTGGTAAAAACACTGGTGCACTTAAGAGAAAGTGAACCAATGACTGGAGTTTTAAAATTCCATTACGTGTGCACAATTCTGACAATTCTTGTTCATGAGGACAATGCAAGGAGTCAAAGTAGTAAAACTGTTTTACAATAAATTTCAACTGTCGATGAAAATACGTATCCAATGGTTGGCAAAGGTCCGTGCAGCCTTCCGGAACAAATTTTAGATTGAAGTCGAAGGTCTCTTTATCTTCAAACCTTTCGTCGTACAACTGCATATTAGTTTGTCCAGTCCAATTGTCCAATATATAAAGAATTTGATTATATTCAGCATGTGGCACGACCATTCTGTCCAAAAAATCCGCTACTAAAGTGTTGCTTAATTTTCCTGATTTGCTTGAAGCAATGACTAAATTTGGGGCAGTAAATATACTTCTTTGTACTACGGGGCCAAATGTTCCACCTATTTCCTATTTAAAATTATGTTAGATAAAAATCTAGTTATCAGTACAGAGTCGAAATTAATTTAAAGTCCACATACTTGTAAACAAACATACACCTGAGGAAGAATTGAGCCATTATAGGCAATAATATATTGGACGGTGTACGAATGCGTGACCTTATTCTTCGGTGAGAATGCAGTCCCGATGGTTGTTCTTTCTCCTTTCCATGTTAAAGTTCGATTAGACAAAATTTCGTACTTAAATCCAGTTTGGTCCGTGTTCCAGATATTTTCTTTTTCATAAATATTCAATAGTGGTTGGATATGGTGTCGAAAATTTTCTGTTTGTTGAAGAATTTGGTCCATCTCCTTCACTGTTGATCTCTTGACAAGTTTTTGAACTTTTCTAGATGAAATTCTATTTCGTCGTTTGAACGTGCTGATCCATGTATCGCAAGCTTTAAAATTAAAGCCAGGATACTCCTTTGCCTTTATTAAAGCCCATCGTCTAATGTCGATTGTGTGTATAGGAAGAAATCCAGTCCTAGCTTCTCGAAACCGTTCAAGAACAAAGTTTTCAATCTCACGCATTATTGTGAACTTGGTACCACCTAATATCATTGTATTCATAATAAGTTCATTTTGTCATATCTCATTTATGAATAAAGTTATAAAACCGATTTACCCATATCGATTTGATCTCTCCATCTCTTTATATAATTATGGTGTTTAACATTTTTGAATTGTTGCCGAAATGTGCGAAATTTCCAGGCCTTGTTGTTGTTGAATATTTCTACTGCTTTCTTCTTGTATTCCATACTCACATCGTCATCCACAATCTTTAAACCATTTTCATCTATGTATGGTTCCAAACTACAAAGTACTTCATCAGCATCTATAAAGTAATAAATATAGTGTACCCGTGATAATGTTTAAAAAAAATTGGTCATCAAACAATTCGAAATAGCATACCGTTGGTAAATTCCTCATCTTTTACGAATACATAGTCATGTACTAATTCGCACAATTTATCAAGTAGTAGGTTGCCAATTACAATTTCTTCATCCGTTGGTTCCCTATACTCATAACTAAAGTATTCTTCGATTTTTACAACTAATATTTTTGATACACAGAGTAAGTTAATACTATCCATTCTAATAATAAATTATTGTTAACGAGTAATAATAATCCTTTAATGAAAATAATGAGACGAATTACAAAAAAAATCCTAAAAGTTCAGACTGGAGTGAGTTGAGTGGAAGGCTGGAAGAGTTGAGCGAGTTGGGCATGAAAGTGATTGACCTCGCCCAGTGAAAATGAGCATTTTTTTCAACTTTGAGGTCAAATTGTGAGAAATATGTTGAGCATTATCGAAAATGACAAAACAACTGTTTAATAATATTAGTTTAACTACAAAATAAAGTTAGTCTCATCAAGATTTGCGATAAACACTTCACGGCATCGCATTGTAAGTATACTGGTACATATACATGTAGGGTATACTGGTAAATAGACAAACGCTGTTTTATTTACTTATCCAGAATTCCAAATGCATAATTTTCGCTGCGTTAGGATGGAATGAATATAACTGAAAGTTATTTAAATTTAGTGGGACTTTTCTTAGACGGCGTACCACATTTTAATTTGTCGCGTGGTATACCATCATAGTTATAAAAATAGGAACTGGTTGGACATTTCCACTGGGTATTTGTCATCGCTTCCTACGATTTGTTGGTTATCGAAAGCAAGAGAAAGATTGTCAATCTCTTTAGGGAATTCCGGTTTATTTATCTGCTGCAAGTTAGCTCAACATTGCATACATCAGTTCAAGCTGGGACCGCAGTTAACAATTTTAAATAGCCTACCTTATAGTAATGAATTATATTTTACGTTTTTGGATAGTTGAAATGCATCCAATGTTACAGCACCCGCGTTTCCGAACCTCTCAGCTAAAAATAATCCCATCCCCCTCAGTGTACTTAAGTATTGTCCACTGAGCTCCTGCAATAAAGTCCTTTTACATAGGGTGTAACTCATTTACGAACTATTAGTAAAAATTAAAAAAACAACATTCAACCAACTTGAATTAAAATTGTTTAAATAATATCCAAAACACGTAGAAATTCTAAAGCTAGAAGGCTTAGTGCCAGAAAAAGAAAATAATAACGCTGGCGTATAAATATGATTAAGCAGGTATTAAAAAGTATGTACCTGGAACGTCAGCAGGATTATGGTAAGTTCCACAACGTTCGTTGATAAAATTTAAAGTGAATCGCGTTACTCGCAAAATTTTGTTTCGGTCTTGCAAATTTATTGGTCTTGATTTCAATTTCATCTCGAATTGCAGGAAAATCCTATATTTTCTGTGAACGTTGCTACAAACAAAATCCTATCTTATAGCTCTAATATGTTGCTCAAGTGGGGTTAATGTCACAATTCCCATCCCTCCTGGCAAGATATCATTCCCAACGAAAGTCTTCAGTAGGCTAGATTTTCCTGAACTTTGTCCTCCAATAAAAGCGATTTGTGTAAGCCCGGATACATAAACAATTTTCTTGGATTGTACATATACAGTGTCTCAAAAAATTGAAGGCACCTTTACGTATTTTTAATTGCGATATGATGCCATGCACTTAGAGCTTCGAAACTCTGCATGCACTTGTATAAATTAATTGGCGAATAATCCCTCGTCGCCGATTTCTAAGGTCACCGCCCGGTCGAAGGTCAGAATTTTTTTACCACTTCAAAATGAGAGGCCAAAATGAAAACTTCATGGATAATTTTTTTTGGACTTTCTAATATTTTTTATTGGTTGCGGCAAGGCCTCACCAAAAAAAATGAGCTATCGTTCGACCGTGTACGATTTTTTTGACGCCCACAGGAATTTTTCGCCCAGAACGGTTTTGAGGCCTAAAATCGTGACCGTGGCGAAATTCAAACATTTGAAATATACAAAACCATATAAACATTGAATATATGCTTTTGTATATTTCAATTCTTTGAATTTCGCCACGGTCACGATTTTAGCCTACAAAACCGCTTATGGCGAAAAATTCCTGTGGGCGTCAAAAAAATCGTACACGGTCGAACGATAGCTCATTTTTTCGTGAGGCCTTGCCGCAACCAATAAAAAATATTAGAAAGTCCAAAAAAAATTATCCATGAAGTTTTCATTTTGGCCTCTCATTTTGAAGTGGTAAAAAAATTTTGACCTTCGATCGGGCGGTGACCTTAGAAATCGGCGACGAGGGATTATTCGCCAATTAATTTATACAAGTGCATGCAGAGTTTCGAAGCTCTAAGTGCATGGCATCATATCGCAATTAAAAATACGTAAAGGTGCCTTCAATTTTTTGAGACACTTTATATATGTATATATTTAATGCAAGTATTTAATATTGATTTTGGATTTGATTTATTAATTATCCTTTTTATAGCTCCTAAATCTTATAAAGGAACATAATATCTAATTTGGTACAAGCTGCCAAATCTTTCTTCCACATTTCAAGAACAATTGGTTATTGTTTCGTTGAATAGCCTGAAGTCCTTCATGGAGATAAGCTTCAAGGATGAAAAATCGTAGTGTGAAAATAATAAGTTGTTCCTTTCAGGGCCAAAGGTTATGACAAACTGTATGATATTGTATCGATCTGAAAGTAAAAGTATAATCTTGATCTTTGTCCAGGGTTTCACTATTTATATAATGCCTTATATGTATGCATGCAGGGAACTAATTAACAAAGTAATGCCAATGAGCCAGTTATACAAATTTTTAACACACGCTGAGATACACATGTATATAAATCTTAACAAAAAATGTCCTCAACAACATAGAAACATTTCGTTTCCCTTACGAGGGAGAGTTTCATGAAACTTTTATTATACTTTCGTGTTAAACTCTTCGCTTGAACTCTTCATAATTAAACAGTCTCACAATTTCCATAACAATTCCAATTTCCCTGGTAACTACAAAATTAATTCTGGCGTTGAAGCCTTCGACGACCGCTGTAGTCATCTTTCACCTTGAAACATCTAAACTTTCATAGATTGATACTGTCCGGAGAGCAGATCACACTCGTGTTTGCCCTGCTTCACTACAAAAATTGCGAATTTGAATTCTCGCATAAATAGTTAAACCTAATTGCAGTATGCTTGCATTTGAAATCCTTTATCTCTTGACCTAGCAAGGTCACGTGATAGGGTTGACATTAATGATGAATGTATTAACAAAGCACAACTTGCACTTTACTTTTATCTTATCGGTTTGAAAAGTAAAAGGCTAATACATAACATTTTTTATGAATAGACTCGATTCAAGGGTTCATCAATCGTTAGTTCATCGACTTTCAAGGTTTGGTTGTCGATTTTGCTTGAAAGATCTTTCATCAACTTTTGAAGAGGAGAGGAGAATGATGCAAATGTTCCAAATGGTTCAAATGCTCCATGTTGCTTGTTGTTTCCAAAACCTGAGTGGTTTTTTAATTACCGTCTAAGCTTCTTGAATATCGTCCAGTAGTTCCTGAATTATACATGTTATCTGCAGAGGAAGTTTTATCTAAGTATGTCATATTTCAATTTGAGTTGTTGATACATACATATTTGTCCTGTTTAAATTGGGTGTTTCCAAAAACTAATTGCTTTGAAGGTCGAGAATCGCGGACCCTATTCTAGGGTCCCCATCTTTTTCCCTGAAAATGTAAATTTCATGTGTAAAATGTTATTAGAAAACGTCACATTAAAATCAGAATACCATTTCTTTGTACCGACTTCAGATAGGTGGCTACCGACTTTCCACTATTCAACCTCCAGACGAGTATCTAATGCGCAAAAAAATTATTTGCAGCCTTATCAAATATTTTGGTAATGGATATATCAAATTATTGTATCTATGTATTACGTAAGTGGACTAAAATTACCTAAAATTTTAACCTTTAATGTAAAAGCGTATCAATTGTTACAAATTGCATAGAAGTTTACCAATTAAGGAAATTCTCCGTTAACATCTTTTTCTTCATTTGACATTTCCCGGTGCTTGTTTTTCATACCTGTAAAGACCATAGTAATTATTGAAGTTTTCCACATGGTTCCCAACATTGCCCCAATCTGCAGTCGACATTACAAGTAGAAGCACTTGTACCTCTTTGGTAGTCCACTTGAGGGACCACCGTCGCCTGATGGAATTTTAACTTAACGCATGTCAATATGAAATCCAGCTGCTTAACAATTTTTACTTCTCGCATGTTAAGTGACTGTTTGAGTTTTAATTTAAAAATTGGAATCATTATAAGGTTATCTGTTTGGCATCGTTTATTTTCGAATTCTTGTTTGCATGTTTCTTTGTTAGGTTAGTCAGGGTTTCCAGTTCGTCGGTATTCCTTGTATCCAAACTTATTTCAGTGCTGGATACATACATCGAATTATCAAATGATGCTGATCTGAGAAAGCTAAATTGGCAAAGGAAATAAAACTAATTTGAATTCGTCCTAAACACAGAACGACACCAACTACAAAACATTTAGTTAACGATGACGCAAATCTTCCCAGAATGGCTCGCAATACATATTTCTTTGCCCCATTATATAATTCCATGATAATAAAGTAGGATCCATCTAGTTAATATTTTTTTTATATTGTTCTTGTACTTGAGTCCCAGAAATACGTTTAGTATTTTATTGCTAAGCTTTTTGCTCGTTAGGGACATAAATTTAGTCTTTCTTAGTAGCTCAAGCGAAAATAATTAAAGGTGCTGCTAGTACGTTTTCAATTGATGCCATTAACAGCATTCTTTCTGCATTTTAGTTTAATTAAATACGCCGCTGGCCTGATCAGTTTTTTAGGTTGAACAACTTTCAACGGGTGGGCGACTGACATATGTATTATGCATTCTACAGTTTGATTGATTCATACAAGCATTCATTTACATATATTCTAAACTTTGAGTTTGTTAATCCATGTTCATTACATAAAATCCATTTTAAGCAATGGTGACAAATTATTCTGTATTTCGGTCTCCTCCTTGTCCGGTATTGTTTTGCAACTAACCAAACACTAAAAATTGCAGAATAAATCGATTGATGATTATGGATAACGGAAAAATATTTTCCGACCCATAAATACTTCAAAGTTACATTGCAGGGCTTCTCCGGTAAGCCGATCAACTCATTTATAAATTACTTTGAGGGTAAACCATACCTTTATTCCTCAAAAAACGATGCAAGTCTTCTTCCTCCATTCAAAGATGTGGGCTAAAAAAGTACATTTTATATATTCGAATAAATTGGTTTACCAGGATTAACGTTACCTCAATTCAATGTACTTAATTGAGTTAAATTACTTAAATGTCAACAGAATAAGATCTGCTTAAAATA